AATTATAATATAATATATATTATATTACTACTACTAATACTCTCATTACTCTAGTCCTTTCACCTGTTTCTCTTTTGTCATGTGCTACACCCACCTAGCACATCTTTCCTTAACTGCTTTGCAAATTTTCCACCTAATTTGTGAGCTCTTTGAGAAGCAAATTGCCTTTTACTATATCTACATATGGTACCCAGCACAATCTGATTGGGGCCATTTGGCACTACTGTAATATAAATAATAAAATCAGTAAATAAAAAAAATAAATGTAAACTTTGGAGGCTCAGAATGTTTATTTACCTAGTAGTTAAAATGGAAAGTAACTAACACTGTTAAAGACTTTCATAGTTATCACTAAAGGAAAAAGGAAAATACCCCCAACTCCCTCTCTCAACAAAAATAAAATATAAAAAGTAAGTACTCACTTGGCTTTATGAGGATCCTCTATTTCCAAATCCCAAACATACAGTTTGCCAACCTGATTGCCCAGAGCCAGCATCTTTAAAGGAAAGCAGAGGATATAGATGTTTTAAAATACAAAGTCAGGATTTTATAAAGGCTCTATGGCTGATCAATTGTGTGTGAATGTTTGAACATGAATGTTTGTCGGAGGGGATGGAAAGGCTATAAAATTTGCCTCCTTTCTGCCAGTTTATGATCCATCTCTGCAGATGGGAGAGGAAGATATCAGTAAACATAACTTTGGTGGAAAATAAATATTTGTTTGGTGGAACTTTCTCCACCAGACAGAACCCAGAACTCCAGAGTGAAAAATCTGGAGCTCCTCTGGTTTCATATAAAGCCCTTTGCAGCAAACTGTTCTATTTCTCAAACATCACATGAACCAGGACTTTTCCCATGCCCATAAACATCAATGAAAAGCTCCACACCTCCAAATACAGCAAAGTCCAAGCTGACACCTACCTTTTGCCAGAAATCCATTGAAAACCTCATGTACCATATATCACACTGGCTGTAATCAAATCTCCCAAGTATGGTCACATTTGACTCACTGGGCTTGATTTTATCTATATCATCTTCCATTTTGCCAGGTTTCCAGCACACAATGGCATTTTCACAAGACTGAGGTGAAACAATGGAGAAAAAAAAAAAATCACCTGTATTTTTAATTTATAATGCACATTCAATCTAACTATAATTACAACCAAACATTTTGTCTCAAAGCTTCCCCAATGACATTAAAAAAGTACAAGTGGAAATCTCACCTCTGTCCTTAGGTCACAGCCTCATCACCAACAATAAACACATCATTGTCCATTGCTGGGACCCTGCTGCCCTCACAGCTTTGCCAGTAAAAAGGCTGCAGGAGCCCTCCCTCACCCACTTCAGAGGGATTCAACCACTTGTGCTCCAACATATTTTCATGAGCAGTTTAAATTAAATTAAACTGGGGGGTTGGACTAGATGATCTTTCAAGGTCCCTTCCAATCTCTAACATTCTGTGAAATTAACCTTGATTTGAGGATCATTCACCCAAACCCTTTGACTAACAGGACCATGCATGCATCAATTTCTGGCAACAAGACAGTTGGATCACAAATTAATATCTGTGAGCCAATGTTATTAGTGGACACAACACATTAATCAAAGTTACTCCATTATGGGAATCCTCATTTCTCCCTTTAGCAGCAGGGTCACTCATCAGTATCTATATATTCTCTTTCTGTACATTCCATGCAGATTCTGGTGAGCTGGTATTCCCTGTACTACAGCTGTAGTAATAATTTCATTTTTTAAGTACAAGCTGCTTATCCATGCATCCTGACAGTTAACAAAATTCACAATACACTCCACAAAATCATTTGACACAGCACAGTAATCGAACCTAAGACCCAAATGCTAATAAAACTTTTATTGTTTAAGATGCTCAAAACAAGGAAATAAGAGTAATGTAGCTGAAAATGCTGCAAACGTTACCTTGGAAAGAATTAGATCTCCCAACCATCGTACGCAGTCAACATAGTTTCTATGTATGTCTCTGGTAGAAAAGTCAGGAAAGTGAATTTTCTGGGAAATAAAAGGCCTATGGGAGAAAATTGCCAAGTGAAGTTCAGAGAAACACAGAAGCACAAGTCTCATTTTTAATGGCCACTTTTCACATATCTCGATGTTAAAAGGACGAGCCTTTTTTTAACAGTTCTATAACAACGTTGATTTTGTATGCTTCTTTTATTATTTAAATAATAATAGGAACAGTCCCTGTTTCCATCCTCACTCCTAATGAAATAATGAGCTTCCCATGTACAAGACTGTGCAGAGAAAGTGCTGAGCAAAACCACCCCTTCAGATGCTGAATTCTGCTCCTGTTGCCAAATATTTCAAGAACTAATTCAAACTCAGTTTTCTTCATGCTGCTTCTGCAACATCTAAATTTTTAAAGAGAAAGCCACACTATTAAAAAAAACCCTACACTAAAAAAGTAGCATTTAATAACTGTTAACATTACCAAAAAAAGCAAGATTATTTTCACAGCTAGTGTCATTGTTGAACATGTTCAGTGTCTTTTTAGACTCTTCAATTCTCTCGATGTTTTTAACTGGAAGTTAAGATTAAAAAGTTGAGGAACTTTATAAAGGAGGATTTATTTATCATGTATCTAATTACTATGTTTACTTGACATTCTACTAATCTGAGATCAGATCAGAGAATTATGAAAATTGAGGTTATTACTACGTACACAGTTTTGTCCTCAACCCAAAGTCAAGTACCAGATACAATAACTAGTAAAAACTACTCAATAGAAAACTACTTGCTACATTTAATTACATGGATTTGATTCCCTCCTAGAAATTTTGAGGTGAGAGGAAGAAAAGCCATTGACAACTTGAAACATAACAAAATAAAAACTTCAATTAAGAATGATAAGGATAATTCCAGACATTTCCTAGTCAAGTAGATAAGAAATAATTAAGATTTTTAAAAAGAAAATCTCAGGACTTGAAATCTGAACTCAGTAAAATTCTACTGAAGCAAACATCAATAAGGCACATATTCTAGAGAGATTCAGTATCCAGCACAACCCCCAGGTCACTCACTACCCCCAAGAACTCCCAGTTTTGACAGGAATTAACCTGGGCTGTTGAGGAGAGTATTCATGTTTTGCAAAGACAGCCAAGAAGATGAAGACTGCATACCTGTTGGTTTTATTTGGGTTGTACTCATAAGACTCTTTGATGGCATTTATCATTCTCTTGGAATTAATTCTCCAGAGTTTTAGAGAGTGATCCATCCCACAGGACATGATTTTTTCACCAAGAAGGTCATAATCCTATGTATATAAAATAATTTTGAGCACCTCCGGCCTAAGCTGCATTATCTCAACTCAGATTTTATTCCATCATTTCCACTAAAACAGCATTTTCTGTGTAGAGAATGCAATAAAACTGCATATTTCAAATAGAACAATGCTAATAATGTAACCCCGCTCACTGCAAAGCAGCAGAATATCTTAATAATTCTATTTACTCTCTCTCAAGTAAGAGAGAAATATTCAACAGCACTGACAGACAATGAATCTACAGCTAGCTCTCCCCACTCAGTAAACTCCCTAGTTTGCATTTTACAGAGCAACTTTGTCAAAATTCCAGGGCTATGACATGAGTGATGAGTATTTAGAACCACAAAAGACTTAACACAGTGTCAGGTTTCATAGAGATACACCCCTCACCTTTCAGGTCACACACCAGGAAAGGAAACAGTTCTTAAGCAGCAGCTTATTAAAAGTCAACTATTCTAGTCGATATTTTCTGGGTACCAGTGGCTGTGAAAAGCAGCATAACTCACCTGAAATAACTTCTTCCCTTCACTACCATGTGTCTCAAATTTTATTTGCTCTTGCTGCTTTGGCTTGAGAAGACCCCAAGAACTTCATAAGTGGGACTATGATGAAAATATTTTACTCTTTCTAGCCCCACTGAGCTCTATTTTATTTATGTCTAGGCTGCACTGCGAGAAAACTAGCTACTGAACCATACAGAAAGTGAACACCTGTGCTGTATATTGAGAGGTGGCCAGATCAAACCACCTTAGATTTAAACTTGTCTATCCCCTTAACACAGTATTTATGCACTTAAGGGTTTGGTTGGTTTTTTTTTAAGTAGGTATAATATGAAAAATAGTGCACAAGAGGATAAAAAGTTGCATATTGTAGGCTTACTACCCTTTGTAAATCTAAATCACTGCCCCACAGTCTTCCACTTACTGCACTTAACACCTCATCCCTGTGCCCTTCTACTCCTCCAAATATTGCAACCAGCGTGTCTGTCTGGATGTTCCACAGTCTCAATGCATGATCTATAAAGAACAAATAAAATTACATGCTGCTTTTTATATGTACAAATGAATAATATATTTCAGCTTAACCACTTTCAATAACAGGTCTTCATGTAAACATCAAAAAAGGCACTTAATTCTTCTTCACTCGTTAAGAAGCAACAGAACTGCGTTAACTAAAATTGCCGTTACGGCTAAACTATTGTTAGAGTAAATCTGTAGAGTTCTGAGAGAGAGTGCCCACCCCCTGCCCTAGGGACAGCTTCTACCAAAAATAAACTTGGATCTTCGGATCATCCAAAAAGCAAAGTCTGGTCTTGGACAAGTATGTTTTTATTCAGTCTTATCTCAAAAACAATTTTATATATAAAAAAAATGCTACAGTTCCTTTCAGCCATTCTTATATTAACATTCAGAGACGTTTTAATTTTCCATTTTTTTAACCTTCAAAATATTTTTCTTTATGAACCACAGACTGTAGGGATGGGAGAAACTGTTTCTATATACAATATGTATTCCAAAGTCAATCAGATTAATCCAGTTGTTTAAAGAAAGCTTTAACAATTTCTAATGAAGAACCTCTACTGTATTTCCCATTTGGATTCCACTGCACTGCACTGAATTACAGCAACAACAACTGGAAGGCCAAACAGTCCCAAATATTTTCTTCTTTTTCTACTCCTCTCTCAGCCAAGCAGTTCTGAGACCCTGGTATTCTCCTGCCTCAGGCCTTCTCATAAATCACAGAATCATAGAATGGTTTGGGTTGGAAGGGACCTTAAAGATCATCCAGTTCCAACCCCCCTGCCATCAGCAGGGACAATACCTGGTCCAGAGACTGCACATTAAAACTGGTAGTACTATGGCTGATGTAAAAATGTTATTAAAAAAAAGAACCTAAAAAATATACACCACTCAAGAAACTCCAGGTTACAGACTCAGAGGAAAAACTTGACAGTGGTAAGAATCAGAGAGGTTCCCAACTCCTATTCTCATGCAGTTTCATCAGTGATGCTAAATATACTAAGGTCAAAAGTCTCCTTATGTGAACGCTTCCAACTCAAGCATTCCTGAAAGCTTGCTCTTGCAGCAGATCAAATATTCCTTTACTTAACAAAACAGTCGAGATTAGGAAGTTGTGACTGTTAAGACGTTCAGGACAAGCCCATAAGAGACCAGAACAAAAACTCGCTTCTCTCTTCACTAAAGGGAATGTTTCCCTTCACTTTCCTACAAGAAAGCTGGGGAGGGACTTTTTTACAAGGGCAGTTAATGACAGAACAAGGGGAAATGGCTCTAAACTGGAAGGGGGCAGGGTTAGATTAGATATTAGGAAGAAGTTCTTCACTGTGAGGGTGGTCAGACACTGTCCCAGGTTGCCCAGAGAAGCTGTGGCTGCTCCTCCCTGGAAGTGTTCAAGGCCAGGCTGGATGAGGCTTTGAGCAACCTGGTCTAGTGGAAGGGGTCCCTGCTGATGGCAGGGGGGGTGGAACTGGATGAGCTTTAAGGTCCCTTCCAACCCAAACCATTCCATGATTCTATGAATATTCTTTTTACACAAAGTCCAATTAAAGTCAGAGAATCAAAGTTTTCCCCAGAACAGTGGTGAATTCCTTCTGCCACACTAACACATCCCCACTAGATGGCAACGTGATGCAACAACTGAAAAGAAAATTTAACTCGACTGGTAGAAAGGAAAGAGCAACCCTAATGCTCATGTTTCCTCTGTCCTAATAGCAGCACTGTTCACAATCCCTTTGCATCACAGGTGGAATTATGTTTAGCGTAGGCCATGGATTTAATAGGTACAATATACATATATATATATATAGCCATAAAAGAGCAAAATCTGCTCTAGACTTCCAAGGTAAACGTGTTCAGTGCCATTCATAAAAAATTCATGGAGCTTTTGGTCATTTTCAAGACCAAAATCCAATCCAGAGTATCCTGATTTATATAAAAACAAAAGAGGGGTTTTTTTTCCTCACCTTTGCTTACAGATAAAAGGAGATTTGGGTCTCTTGGATGGAATTTCAGTTCATTGATTGCATTTCCATGGCCCACGTAGTGCTGGGATAAAATTCAGAGACCAAGTTATCATTTCCCCTCACATTTACATGTATTTAGAAGACATAAGTTTCATGCCTTACTGAAACACAAGCTGTATCTGGAAGTTCTGAGCACTCACCTTTATGCACTGCATTGTAATAGGATTAATTATCCTGATAATACCCCTGGACCCTGCCACAGCCAGAAGAGGATGGCTTGTATTGCTATCATATGTCCATGCACAGGTATAGAAATTTTCATCTGCCTAGAACATCATATGTTAAGGAGCACAGAAAAAACAGAAAGTTTGGTATTTTTTGTTTGTTTTTAAAATAACATTTTTTTTTTAAGTAAACTTGTTGCTATTTTATGCAAGTACCCAGAAATCTCTGCTGGACCCCATAAGAAAAAGAAAATACATATTTGATTATAAATCTGCAAATATAAGCAACTTCACCTTTTCTATAGATGCCAGTTTCCTCACTTCTGTTCTGCAACATGTAAGGAACGTCTTCGCTCTCAGCATCACTTTTTAACCTCTTTCTCCAAACATCTTAAGGTTGGTAATAAAATGAAGATGAATCAAGACTGAGTTCACAAGTTACCGACTCGTGTACTACAAATGATCAACAGAAGTTATTACAACTTCAGAGCACGAAAGAGAATTCTTAAGACTTTAAACCCAGTTGCAATTCACAGGGAAAGTGAAACCACTAAAGCAGTGAATGTGAAACTCTACACAAATATTAGTGTTGGGGAGATTAAACTGACAGAGAATCAGTTTTCAAATACTTTAATACAGCATGTTTCATGAATCTGTGTTCTTAATATTTTTTCAAAGGAGGGACTCTAGGATGTGGGAAAGAGGTGAGACCTGGACCTAACAGAAGGAATGTGCCACATGAGCAAGTATTAAATCACAGGCCAAACCTTCATCCCCATGAAGAGGAAGGCAGGCAAAACA